TATATATATATATATATATATATAATTGATTCTATAATAATAAAGTACCAAGTAAACCCAGTAAAAATGTTTAATCACGTTGGTACTTAGTTCGATGAGAAGTTTCAAATGTTACTGATAATTTGCCAGTTTTCCAATTTTTTAAATTTATTTTTTCGATTTTCATAATTCCATAAATTTATAATTATCACTCAAGAGTTGACATTTCAACTCTTTGACTTAAAGGTGAATTGCATACGATGATTGCAAACTATGAAAAGGATTGCTAAAACATGTATCAAACGTGTTTATGGCACTTGTATACTGATACCAAACATGTCTTTTCGAAGTTACAACAACGTTAAGCCGAATGTAAATAGGAAAGATCTCGTTTGCTACGTATTGCAAATTAAGTCAAATATTAATCGTTGATATTTTGCAACGGATTATACTTCAGGAATGTCCGTCGCCTCGTTTATTGTGAAGACAAGCTTTTTGCGTAAGCGACTTTGCGTAAATTATAATAACGATTTTGAAAGCGGCATACCTTCGTTTTTGGAAAATCGTACGCTCGAAGGTCTACTTCTTTCAAAATCGGTAATCAACATGAATGCGAAAGCCAAATATTTTCGATGCTCGTAATCAAGAATTACGGATCTAAGCGATGACCTCGCGATATTTTTCACTCCGCGACAATCCGCGACACAAATATTGTGATCTTCGGATTTCAATATATTAAAACCTTGTAAACGACGCGATCAAAATATACTTACATATAATGTGTACTTTACTGCTGTCCTTCCTCACTTCAAAACAACATACTTAAGAATTATATGCTTCCAGTCAATGTTTTACGATGATGAAATCGCAATAATATTGAAAAATCAATTGCATCAAGGTTTACAATCTTTCACTCTTGCAAAAATTAGTTTCACGACGCGAGAAAGTCAGTTTCGTTTTTCGACATAAATCAAGCGAATAATTTGACAAATTTGAAAATGAGTTAGTACAGCAATTAGCACACTGCTAATTCTGAAAGGGAGATAAAGTCTATTTGGAACAAAAAGCAGAGACCGAAGTTGCCGTTATTCATTTCCACCTCTGAAGCTCAATTTCCCTATTTCTATTGATTTCAAGTGCTTCCATATTCCGACATATGCAATTTTCTCGTTTTCTCGACAATGTAATCGGCGAGCGTGCCGATTACCGAACACCCTGTATATAAAGCTAGCCCGAGTATCATGCCGCCTTAAGGGGTTAACGAACGTGCAAGGCGAGGTACGGAACGACGGACACCTCCACGGCTCACCCTGCCCAGAGAAGGGACGATAAAGTCACCGTTTCGCGTTCCTCCCCTCGCGCGCGGCCGCGCGCGCGGTTGCGATCCTAACGGTTCCCTGCAACGCGGTTCACGCAAACGTGAACGCTCTCCCGGGCGCTGCGCTATCTCCCGCACACGCGCGCGCGCGCCCGCACGAAGGAAGATCGGTACATGAAGAGAAGAAGCGAAGGAGCTCGCGAGAAAGAAGGAAAAACGGCCGGAAGGTCGGAGGTGGACGCGGAGTGCGCTTATTCCATCGCCCTCTCTCTTTTCTCTCTCTCTCTCTCCACTCTCTCCGTATCCTTTTCCTCCGTATCCTCGCTCCTCCCATCCGTTTTTACCTCTGTGTGACAAGCCTGATGTATCCATTAAATGAAACAAAGCGTTTTTCTCATTAGACTAACAAGTTACGTTCCTTCTGTTATAATAAGATACTCTGAAGTTTTTTTATCGGACGCAAATTTAGCGACCTTAATTACATTATTATCGCAGTATCCAGACTTTATCTGGCGATATTTTGAAATATTAGCGTTTGTAACATTACGTGTGATTAAAAAGAAATAAACAACTTCCTACAGATTGCCATCTAAGGAAAAAAAAATACAGCTCATAACACAATCGCTCGCGGCTTAATTACGGGCGAGCGCGCGAAACCGGGACGGCCGCGATCCTTCTCGTCCTCGATCGAACGACGCCGCCTCGGCCGCAATAGTGGATCGCGCGATAGTGAAAGTGCACGCGGAAAGGAACAAAGAAAGGTGGAAAAGAAGCGGAGCGAGCGGCCCCGCGAGACGGAGCCCCTTTAGACGGATGAAAGTTATCGGAGAAAGCCAATTGGCACCGTCGATCTCGCGAGCGGCCGCGAGTGCGCGGCACCGCACCGCGCGCAGTTCTCTCACCCGACCGACGACGCGCCGCATCGCTTCTGCTGCACAGTGCACCGCCGCGCTCGCACGCTCGTGTGCGAGTCACGAGCATCGGGCGCGCGCATACGGAGAAAATAAGTGCACTCGCGCCGCGCCGCACAGCCCCCGTGGCTTTACGTAACTCCGCGCGGCGTTCGTCTTTCCGCGCGCAACGACGATCAGGGCCGAGTCTACCCGAGTCTCCTCCGAGCCGCGAATCGCAAAAAGCCGAGAAAGACTTTTTTACATGCAAAGAATGAGATTCAGAAATCTTCAGATCTTTCCAGAGGAATTTTAAATCTTTTTTTTTTTTGCCAATGTCACTGTATTCAAAGAAGTATGCTTACGGAGATATTCTGTTGGCAATGAAAAAATATCCCCATACTCTCGATGGAATTGCAGAGGAATTTTATTTCGAAGTATTTTATTTGTGAGTTTATTTATCAAAGAATTTAATGTTGAAAAATAATCATTTTCGTGATCAGCAATAGTCTGTCTCGACATCTGGCAAAAGCAATAGCCATACATCACGTATCTAAGTATTTGTATAAAAGGAATTACAATTTGTGAAACGTGGATGACTTTTTTTAATTTTATCTAATCAACAGCTTTCAGTTTACGACACTAAATTATATAGATACTATATATATTATATATGTCAAACTAAAAGTTATGCGTTTTTCCTCTTACACGCAGAGTCGTAGATCCAATTGATTTACCCCCAACGCGAAAGAAAAGTTCGGTATCATGGTATATAAGATACGGGAACGACGACGGGGGGTTTAATGAAGCTCTCCCGGCCGCGTAAAGTCTCGTAGTCACGGCGGGAAAAAAAGTAGCAAGAGCTGGAGGAACGAACGACGCGCGCGCGCGCGATGCTATCGGCTCCGTTCCTCCGCGCGTAAGGATGAACGATGATTTGTCGAGCGAGTCCGCGAGACACGAGAGAGCCGCATAAATTCTTATTAGCGTGGTGTTACGGCGGCTCATAAAAATCCATCGCCGCAATCTGCCCTCGTCTCGGGACTACTTCCGATACTCCGATATCACTCAAGTGTAGTAACTCATAATATAGTATAATATAGCGTCTTGTATAGTTATTATTTTTCCTATTGTTATTATTATTGCTACTTATTATTCGTAATATAGCTAAAAGGCGACGTACTTTATTTTATAGGACTTTTAACTTCGATATATTTTATTCCAGATAGTTTCTAAGTGTTGACTAAAGATAGTTTCATAATAAATATAGAGATTAATTATTTCATAGCTTTGAAGTTATTATTGAACTATTATTGAAGAATTTTTCTTTTTTTCTTAATTGTTATTATACGTATTTATATATTTCATATCGGACAATTAACAAGAATTATGCGTCCAACGAAAGCGTCACACTTCCTTCCTGCTTTTATTTTACAAATGAAAAACCATTTGTCCCAAATAATACACAATTAAATTCGACATTATGAAATAATCTTGAAATTCAATACTACGACAAATGAAAAGTAAAGAAACTCTTTTCTTAAAAGGGATAAACATTTTCAACAAGGTTCACCGATGATCGAGTCATATTCTAAATAAAATTTTGTTAAATTTTATTACTAATTTTTTCGAACATTTTGATCCATTGTTTTTATTTATATTATACATATAATCTATGCAAAACCTAACGGAATTATAAAGTTTTAAACTTCAAAATTTTTGTTTAATTAAACATAAAATATAAATATTTTTTTATCAATCGTATGCAATTAAATTACTTTTACACAATACAGATTTTCTTCGGATTTTTTAAAAGATTTGAACATTAATATCTAACATTCAAATTGACTGTTTACAGAACCAGTACCTAGAAAAAGACATGGAGAACGGAAGAATGTACTCTCGAAAATGCAAAAGACTCTCGGTCCGTTAGGAATGCTTCACGGATGCATGGAGGAAAAAATCCGGGTTAGGGTAGGTATTCGGATAGATTAATTTTTTTTTAATCATTCATTAATTGATACTTAGTACTTTGTAAAAAAAAATCTCAAATGATTCTTTAAATAAAAAGCGCGAATTTTCATGACATAACATAACGATGATTTTAAAGTTACACAGATTTTTAGATTCTAAAGAGATTTTTGCAGAGATTAAAGAATAATTCTCTCATGTGTTATGTGGAAATCCCTCAAAATTATATCTAGTATATTCAAAAACTTAAATATTAACGCATTTCTCGATTCATCAATCCTCTATTTTGCGCTTTCAGCGAAAAATGTACATTATCGAACACTACAATTTTCAGATATTTTCCGTCGCAATATCTCAATACAACACGTCTCCTTCCTAATCTTTTGCGTGCTTGCCGAAGAAAACAATCCTAAAAAAGAAACACTTCGTCCGCCCTTCCGCAGCTCCTTCCTTTCCGTCATTTCTTTTCTATCCTTCCAACCTCCCCCTCCTCCCCTAATATTGTTCGCGTGCACGCATACACGCGACTGACACACTTTCGCAGCCGAGTGACACACACGCGAAACCCTTCGCGGGTATTCGAAGGGCAACGAGACCCACCCTTCAACGAGAAACGCGATCGGGGAGGAAAGAAAAGCATTCGGGTCAACACTCGTAACCATGGTGACCCGACGGGGCGCTCTAGCCACTTCTGTTTACGCCCCTGACATGCCGTCGTCGTGCGACAAACGATTCAACGCGAGACGCACCCGGACAGGGTCGCACTGCTGCCCTAAAATTTACCCCTTGAAGCGCACGCGGTCGATCTTGTTGGGAGAATACAATTTCGAGTACGATGTCCTTCGAAGACTATTACTGACCGTACGAAATCTTTCATTCCGAGAGATACAATTTCCGTTGAATACTTCAAAATGTTTCAATTGCTATTTCGTTTCCTCTGAGTTGTAAATACAATATTCTAAATATTTTAACCTTTTCAATTCACGCGGCACATTAAATATAATAACGAACGACATTTGTCGATCATATAATGTATCATTAGATGCATACGTTTCAATATTCAGGTCTTTGATCAGATATCGCCAATACGACATTCAGAAATAAAAATAAAGTTTTTAATTTTATTTTATTATTTTAAAAGTGATTTTATTACAATGATGATATCACTTTAATCAAAATGAGAGTAACGCAATATAATTAAAGCGATATTTTCACAATTTTTAAAATATTAGTAGGTACTTTATCACTTTTCACTTTTTCACTTTTTTTATTTATTTCTACATTTTTTCGCTTTTTTTCTACCTTTTTTAAAATTTTTTACATTTCCTTTGTGAGATCCTTTGTGGCACAGTTGAAAAACTCTGCAATACTTCGTACATACAAAACAATAATATTATACAACACAATGTGATTCGAACATTAATTTTATGATTATATTATAATTTCATGAGGACGATACTTTTCGAAATTTATAATTTTGAGGTGAACACTTTTCAGGAAGGGATAATTTCTATATTATGTATTAAATGGATGACGAATGCAACGTGAGGTCTATCCCTTTCTATTCGATAATATATAAAGAATCGACGTCCTCGAGATTGTACAATCAATCCGGAAGTGCACGCGCGTCACCGTGGAAAGTTGTAAAATTGCGGCGCGATGCGCACGGCTGATAAATCATCATCATACTTATCTAATCGCATCCGATGATTTCTCGTGGCGCGGCGCGCTTAATGATCGCCGCCGCGCGCTAAGGACGGCTAATAATAGGACAATGAGATGGAATAATGGAAAATAAAAGTCAAATTGTTTTAATTGGGCTTCCGCCGCGGCGGAAGCGGATATCTTCGGCGAGAGGAGGATGGAGCTTCCGATGAGCCTCCTTCCGCGAGGCTTAAATTAAACGCGTCAACTTTCATCGCAATCCTCCCCCAAGAATCTCGTCTCTCAAATCGTCCTCGATGGCAGATCCTAATCTCCCGTGACCTTCGAACGCATCCGGAAAGAAGATTTTAATCTTGGCGAATCGATCACTCGACCTTCGACCGTTCAAATTGCCGAGGAAAGCATGTATTTTTTTTTTCTTTTATCATCAAATCATTCAAACTCATCTCGTCGCGGACGAATATAAGTGCGTTGAGAAAAAAGAATCGCGAGGGACGTTCGATTATGTTGATTGAATAATCGAATAGCTAACGTCTCCGAGATTTATTATCCTCGTGTTGCTCGTGAAAAAAAAAATGAATTTACATATCTAACAGTTTTGTACTTTTGCGTATATAATTTATACTTTTGAGAAATAAATTAATAAATAAATGACGAAAAATTGCTAAAAATCGGCAAAAATGAGTTTGCAAGGAATTCTGCTCAGGGATTTTGACGAGAAATCATGCAGAATCTAATCGAGCGTCGATCGGATCGCAGCCTCGAGCACTTCCGAAATTTTCCGGTCTAATTGAATCCGTATCTCGCCACCGAATCGCCCTGGATATCTCATTGCCGCGATCTCTCGGTCGCAACGAAATCCTTGAGTCTACGGCCAAGAAAATCCTGACACGTCAAGCGCGCAAAATCGCCGCCACTCCGAAACGACGATTAATTCTAATGACACCATATTTTCATTGTATCCGCAAATTGATGAGATATAATCGCTTAATCCCGTGATGTATAGTCGCTTAATCGAAGTGAAAATGGAAAAACGAGCCGTGTCAAATTAATTTGCGACTTAATACGAGCGCAAATGGGCAAAATGACTCCATCGGATCATCATTCGTACAAGAAACGGGAAAACACGCGGAAGGGCTGAGACACGCGCCGCACGCGGAGGTTCTCTCTCGTCACCTTGAAATGGCAAAGAGCGGACTCCCTCATTGGCGGTCTTGAGGCCTCCTAGAATCGATTCCGGCTAATTCGCGGACATCGTCGGCGACTCAATGACTCGCGATGACACATACGTATATACGCGAGTCCGAGGCTCGCAATTAGTTCTCATTGGTGGCAGAGCCGGCTCGGCACGCATGTACTATATGTCCGCGCTGTGCACGAAAGGCATTGAAGGGGGCCTTGCTTGTTGCCTGCACTTCCGCGTATCAGGCCGCTATCTAGCCTCTTACGCGGCCATATCTATGCGACAAACAAACGCTTTTTCTCGCATATACGAACCTTCCTCAACCAGGCGCAATGTAGTCTCTTTAACGCAATTTTATCGTCTTGAAGTGTTGCGCTGAATATCATCACGCTCCGTGCATTATCTTCGGAACGGATACGGAGCGATGCCGAAAGTGAGTTTTATGAGCTCCAATTTAGACTAAAAAAAAGGCTCGAAACTCAAATTTTTACACGCAAACGTCGTGAAACAGAATAGAAATAATTAGAATTCAAAATAAGTAACGCTACGATTCTACAAATGATAATCATACATAATGATAGAAACAATTAAAAGTGACACTAATTATATTCGTAATTATGTTCGTAATTAGTGTCACTAGTTTAGTTGTTCCTAGACTACAATTAGTTAGCCGTACAAAAGTGTAATGAATGCGTAGCATATGCGGTATGGAGAAAAGAAAGAATTGCATCATATGACTTGCGCAAAAGTCGATCGAACGAGAATATATGTAATTTTCTGCAAAAAATTGCAACGATAAAAAATTGGCTGAGCTCTTTTTATAGCTCTTTTCGTTCATGTGACACACTGTCTCAATCTAGTTGATGTAGATAATCATAGATAGAGAATAAATCGCTCTTTTGCTACAACAATTCAAAAATTGTCATTTTTTAATTGCTTACAGAAAAAGAATAAAAATATAAAGAAAAATAATATACTTAAAAAAAACACTTTTATTCCTCTATTATCACTGTTATCATCAGTTATTACATTAACATTGCATTTCAAAATTATTAATATTTAAAAAATTACAAAATTTTTATTCAAAATTCAATATTAAAACTCTTTTTTTACAAAATTTTGTTTTTTGAGAGATATCTATACTGTGGAATCTATATTGTGGAACAATGAGCGAGATCACATATAAAAGTCGAACGAACGATTGTTCGCTTGATTGCTACTTCACATTTCGGGCGCGACTCAAATGACTCCGCGATCATCGAAAGTGAAGTGGGAATGCCGATCGCCGCGTCTCTTTTCTCGGCGAGCACGACTTTACCTGGAACACGAGGACTCGTCGCGATTCTAAAAGGAATAATCGGTCGTTCTTTGTGCCGAAGGTCTACACCAGGAACGAGCGCGGCATAAGGGGACACGTGGAGGCATACGTGGCCGCCTTCGACAAGTACTGGAACCTCGCGCTCGAGGACTGCTTCGAGGTCTGGTCCCGCAAAGTCAAGAGGAAAGCGCCCGCTCTCGGTACGATTCATCTTATTAATATCTATACTACGGCATATAATCTATTAAAGACCACGTTCACAACATAAACAATTTTGGACCACAATTGTTCCTATTTTTCTTTAAAGATTTTATATTAATAATAGAATCATTAACGATTAATAGTTTATAATTAATGATCCTTGAATAGTCAATGAATCATTAATAGTTAATGATTAAAATTTTCTAATGATGATTAGAATCGTCAAAGAGACAGTTCAGCTACAAGTTCTTTAGAGAATTTGTTGCTAAAATCGTTTCCCTTATAGTTAAGTTTTAATCGTTTCCTTCGTAATTGTCATTCCGATAATGGAATGTTGGCCGTTAATGAGTTGAGTTATTTGAATATTTACAAGTATATTACTGATGTATCACTGATGTTTCCATCACAAATATATTTCACATATTTATCTCTGTCTGACGTATTGAAAAGTTCTACTTAAAGTAAAATAATAAAATAACATTTTGCAGCTTTTTGCTAAAATTGGCGAATGCTATTTATTTATCAGTCGTATTACATACACGATTTATGATTTCTGCGCTTGTCAGCTGATCGATTAAAAATTAATTTTTTTTTTATCGAGATTTTTTGCGAGTTAAGTAAAAGATAACGATATTCTCTCATTTGATCTTAGAAAAACAGATTTTACTTTAAGAATGTTTTAACATCAAAATTCATGATAGTCACAAGCGCACAATGTTAACTCTAAATGTCTCTGCTGTTCAGTTTCCTTTCGATTTTATTCTTAATCGAGAATTGTAATGCAACTGCTACAAGATTAGAGATATAATAATCTTGTTGTGTCTTTTATATATGCGTTAATTGCGTGGGATACTTTGTATTCCATGAAGATTGATAATAGAAAAAGAGTTACAAAAACTTGACCGAGAATACTGAAATTGCATAGAATTATAACCTGTTTCAGTTATTACTGGAGATAAATCACTTAATCGGGTGTGTGTGAGAATCAAGGATAAATTATAATTTTCAACGTGTCGGACGAAAAGAACGATGAATAGTCTTCTCGTGTTTTCCAATCATGCTCGATGCAGAATTTATTAATATAAATTTCAAGAATAATATATACAACAATAAGCGTGGTGAAATTTTCGAAATTTACATACAACATCGTACGATCTGGAAGGGATTCGCTGCACGTCTAAATCCACGCTATTGAAATTCAGCGGCTTCGTTTCTCGGCAATTATAGATTCTTAATGCTGTAATAATCGTTTTCGGTATATAAATATGTAAATGTATATGTATACCTATGTATTGTGCAACGCGCAGAAAAAATCACTAGTGCTAGATAGATGCGATGGAAAGGAGTCGACCGATCGATTATTCTCGCCTCCTTGCGAGTTTTTGCGTCTCATGGAGATACAACGCGCCATGATGGCACGAAAAAGAGGGAGAAAAAAGAAGGGAGGAGGAAGGGGGGAGAGAGAGAGAGAGAGAGAAATCGAAATGCTAACAAAGTCGGGCGATAAAAAAAAGCTTTATAACTTCCGACATTTCGAAGTACAAATGATATTGAAAACTAAGAAAAGATAGAAAACGCTTTGATACACAATTCTTACTGTACCGAAATATTTGGTTTGGAACTTTGAAGATCACACAAATTATTTGTAAATAATATTGTTCAATGAATTAGTTTTTCTTTCTCTTACATCTTCCGTGTAAATTTAAAAATACTATGTACAAGTCTTGTGAATTTCTTTCAAAAATAAATATTCGCAAGTATTACTGCAGACTATTTTCATAATAGTCAATAGGTTCACTAACGTAAATATTTTTAATTTTCTTGAAGATATTTGTGTTGAAAAATTTTAATTAAAATTAAATTTATCAGCTTTTCTTCTAAAACAGGAACTGGAAAATTTTTCTCAAGTAAAGAAAATGTACATTGAAACAATTGGTGATTACTCATAATTACTGGTCATTACTGTAATTAATAAAAATTGCTTTCGGAAATTATAGCCCATTTTTATCTATTTGACAAATATAATAAGTCTTCGTTAATATAACAACTACTCGTAATATAACAATAAAAAAATTTTGCATGTAACATGTGTTATCTTGTAATAACTGAATAATTTTCTGTTCCTGAGTTATAAGTTAGTTTTATAAGTGTGCGTGTGTATCGATGGTATTATTTTCAGAATATCGGAACTCACGTACGTACGTATATATAGTCCGCGTGACGTTCCACGGAAACTTAAAACTCGTGAATTTGTCTCTTACATTTGCCTCGCCATCCGCTTGCCACCTGACATTGTCGATACGGAATGACGGAGACAATTTGTCATCGGGTCAGGGATGAAGTAATCGACTATAGTCACTCCAGCTTAAAATCGCAACTTAAAACTCACTGACACCATTCCTTTTTTTCGCTTGTACTGCTCGGCCTTGTGTAACGGTCATTCCTATTAATACACACTTTTCGAACGACAGTGATATACTGCATGCACTTAAGCGATCTTCGAAAATTCGTGATTCGATAACGCGACGGAAACTCAGGCCCATTTTTCTACCAATGTAAATTAACTTTAATCTCGGTTTAACTTGCTCTTTATCTTTTCTAAGAATTAGAAATTTTTTTAAGAATTAGTTCCAAGAATTAGAAAAAAATTAATCTACATTGGTAGAAATGGACGTAAAGGCATCAAAACTTCCGCGCTCATCTATTCTTCTTCGGAGTTGCAAAATTACACGTGAAATGTAAGATTCCATTTTTTCTTTTAACTTTTTCCTCCAATCTTTTTCGCGGGAACGCCCTCGGTCGTCGTTAGCAGAAGAGTATCTTCAGGGCAAAAGTGCGATCCACTTTTAATCCGCGGGATTTCCATTCTTCGTTCGTCGCGCGCGCAAATCGATAGGGTTTAACGAACTCGCCTCAGGGGAGTACGAGCGCGCGCGATCCGTTCGTCTTTATTTACACCGCGCAGCAAAAGGGCGGCAGCCGTGGAAGAGTAGAAGAGGAAGGGTCGCCGTATCGGGCGCGCGAAGGGGGATAATACATCCCACTAAGGTCGCCGCTTTGCGGCAGGAGCAAGGACCGACCTTGACTACGTATAGTGGTCGCCGACGCGCGGCGTTCGATACGCGTTCGAAGGAGGAGGAAGAAGAGGAGGAGGAGGAGATTCGCGCGCGGCAGGCCCCTCTTTGCGTGCGCGCTTCCTCGCTCGTTTCTTCTCTGCCTCTTTTCTGCCGCCTTCTCTTCTCCTCTTCCTCCTCCGTGCGACTTCTTCCCGCATCGTTTCCTTTTCTCCCCGTCGATCCTCTCCTCCCCCGCGCCTGTCATACCTCGCGAGACGCTTCTCCAATGCTCCGTATCCCTTCTTCCTCTCCCCCCACCCCTCCCGTGCTGGCAACGGATTTTCCTCCACTCGCGTTACCCTCATCCTTCCTTTTCTCCTTCGCCACGTGCCCTCCAACCTTCCGTCTCTCGTTTTCATTCATCCACGCCGATCGTGTCAAACATGCGATCTATAAGTGACCAAAACACATGTTCCAACTTGGAAAAATGTTACGCTTCGTTCGTACGCAAGTTATTTTTAAACAGATAGATAGAGCATAAGAGGAATCGAAGAAAATATAACGAGATTGGATATTTCGTGGAATCGAATGTATTACCGGCAAATTTTTCTCGGAATCAATTCACAATCGATTTTTTCCGCGGACGAAATATCGAGGCAGGAAGTTTTTAATTTTTTAAATATCTCAGCAACTAAGAAAGATTTTATCTGACAGAAAATTATAGTTTTATTATCTATCTATAATATTAACAATTCGAGTTATTTATTACGGAAATAACATTCTCGCTACATGAGCAACAATCGATTATATATTTATATAGAATTCGAAGAAATGCCGATTAAAGTGACTTCCGCTGTGTTCCGCTATTGAATTTTTCCTCGGTTTTTCCTCAGAAGTGCGATATATTTCCCAGAAGATTCAGATAGAAGACCCTTTTATAGTTTCGCTAATCCTCTGAATTACGTATTGCACACACGTTTTATCGCGAGTTTTTTCAGCGAACTTACCAACATTTTATCAACTTTCATTTCCGTTTCTCTATCAGTACCGTTCTGTAATCTCGTGATTTCTACGATAGACGAACTGGCGTCTCCTGGCACGTGTGTAGATGTATTCCGTCAACGTGTCAATACGATTTTGCATCTCGAAATTCATAAAAAAAAAGTCTGCTCTCCGCGATTTGATCAGTCGATCGAATACGTTTTGATTACACAAAAAAAATATCTAGAGTTGCAGTTCGATGAAAGCGTTTTGAACAGATTTGACTTGAATATGCGATTATTATTGCCTATCGTATATGAACAATTTAATATATGCAATTAATCAGCAAAATAATTTTTGACGACAACGAAACAAGATAAACAGGATTAATCTACTCGGGAATAATTCGAGTGCACATACATTATTTTGAAAAACGTATTATTTGTGCTTCTTTTTAATAATATTTAATGCGTACAATTTAGTATAAATAATACAGATTGACATTATTAATTCAAATCCAGAGGCTACAAGTTCAATTAAGTTTCTAGACCAATATAGAATTTATATACAATCCCATTAAAAATAAAACATTTATAAAAGAATTATTTTAACTACGTCACACTTTACGGCAATATGATAAATTATTTTCTTGTAAAATACAAAATTTTAAAAAGTAAAAAATCATTAATATGCCGAAACGTTTAATAAATAATTTGTAACACATATCGTTTCTTGTTAATTTTTTAAATAATTACTTCGCCAATTCCCACTAGCCGTCTTTATTCCTCAATTGTTCATGACAAAACTTTATAACTTAACTTTTTTTGCTAATTAAATCTAGAAGGAAACTCTCCTTCCTTTCTCTCTCTCCGCGCCGAATAGTACCTATTAAGGGTTAATTTATTTTCTTACTTACAATTTAAGCAAACTATCCTGTAAGAGGTTTAATGGAACTCCGCAACGACGCGGGCGTTGCGAGGCAACGCGAGGAAACGCGTGTTAGGACTAAACTCTTTCGTTTTTCGACGTCTTCTCGTCGTAGTTTACAGCGTCTTCCAAAAAGCAGCACGCCCTGGGCGGGCTGCTCCTCCTCTCTCTTTCGGCGCGCCGAGTTCAGGGTTAGTTGGCCTACTGACGTACTTCGGTACGTATCGCGAGAGGGGTCGCGAGGTCGTTGATACGAGGCTAAGAAGGGAGGGTGGAGGGAGCGGCGACCTTGGAGAACAGCCCGTAACAGGATCGATGCCTTCCCCGTGTACACGTGTCCTGTTGGCTCCTCGTGCCTGCCTTCCTGCCTGCTATCCCCCTTTCCGACCCTCTTCTGGGGCTCTTCCCCGTTTCCTTCCGCGACTCCAACCCCCTTATCACGGTCCCCGCGCGCTTCTATGGACACGTGCTGGACACATAAACAACCTTCTCAAGACTTTCCTCGTGACCTTAGCGAGCGTTTTCTTTCTGAGGTTTATTCGCAACATCATGCGCACTTCCGACTTGAATTTTTCCGCATAATGTCCGCTTAATATTCACAAATTTACCATCTTTATCCTGATTTCGTCAGCTAATACAAGTATATGGATTATTATTATTATAGTAGCTCATTATAAAAGAGAATTCCTCTATGTATAATTATATAGAAAGTTTATTAATATACTTAAGAAACTTGTAATTAAAATTTTTAAGTTATTTTAAAATGTCATAACTTATTTTCAAAATTTTAATAAACATCGAAAAAGGAATCTTTCTAATAAGTTCAATATTAAAATATTTAATATTAAATTGAACCATTTTTTGTTCGGTTTTTTTACCGTTATTTGGCCGTTGAAAAATAATAATTTTTTTTGTTGGAATAAACGTTCAAAATTTAACAAATTATAAAATGCAGTCGATTAATTTATCTGCTGCATAAACTGATAATACACTTTGACGCACGTCTACATAAGTAACGCGGCAATATTGTTATCATTAAAAAATAAAATCTCACAAGAATGAATTCGACTTCCCTCTTCAGAATCTATTCCATTTTTCTTATCTAGTATCTCGTCATAGATACGTTTTTTTCTCCTAACTTTAATTGAACAAAGAACGAGAATTCCGTCGCAATTATGACGAACGAGCAAAGTCATTCATATTTACACGCTCATTCGTATAACTTATTAGAATTCTAAAGCAGCCGCACCGTTAACTGAGCGGAGGGAAATGTATATCGGGAAGAAGATATATATCGCAAGGACTTGGTGTTTGATTCAGGTGCTGATGCAGTCAGGGTAGAACCGGCAGAAAACGACGTCCCTAGGGCGGTGCTGAAGAAGATCGAGGGAAAGACGGAGACCTTGGAGAGGCACGTGCCGCAGATGCTACTGAGGGGAGAGCAAGTCGCTATAATCGTCAAAATCAATTGACTATGCGCTGTCGCCTTAAGGGACGTCCACAGGCAAACGGCGCCACGTGCATTCAATTACGCAGCCAATTGTATCTCATACTTGCCATTCACAACCATGTTTTTCCCGTTATTTGTTATTTTTATTCCGTCACGGAACGAAATTTTATATGAAACGTATTGTACAAACATTTCGGTGCTATATTTGTATGTATAAATGCTTGTAGAGTAAATGCGCGTACTACATTCGCGCAGAGTCCTCTGGATTACGTAACAAAATTCGATTTTTTCGAAGTACCGCGAATGACGCGAATACATTAATGTATTTAAGTATCTCGGAATATATTAATTGGATAACGAATATCAGCGTCATTTACTTAATGCGGTTACAATACGGCATTGCGACGTGATCTACATAACCGGAATAAATGTACATTCATTTTTCACTCCCCTACGATACATTTGTATAATAAATATTTCAAACGAAAAGATATCGTAAAATTCCTCCGCACGCGTGCGTGAAATGAAATTTCACGCCTCTCTCCCTCTTCCTCTCTTTCTTTCTTTCCCCACCTGTCCCACGTCTCTTCCCGCTATAATTCATTTTCAGCAGGACAAACATACAGACGTATGTTTGTATATGGTAAACAGACGTTATTAAGTAGTTACGTCAAAGCGTCGCGCCCCTGAAATTATACGGGGAATCAAAACCTGGAAGGTCGTGCGAGGCCTGGACTTTCTCGTGACAAATGCAAGGACTCCGGTGAGAAAATAAAGAGGGGAAAAAAGGAAGAAACGTGAATGTGAAAAAAAGAGGAGAGAAAGAGAGAGAGAGAGAGAAAGAGAGGTCAGTCTACGCAGCGCCGACGCGGCCTTCGGGCCGCTCGTACGAGCGGCTACGTGCGGAGAAGACGCGACGCGGAGGTAAAAGCCGCGCGATGGAGCCTCTAATCCGCCGGCGTGCATGCGAGCATCGACAACGAGGAAGTCGAAGGCGGCGAAGAAAGTTAATTCGCGCGCGATTGTCCGGCGAACGCCGGCCCGTTCCACCGTGACTAAACTCCACGGTCCGCGACTGGTTTTTCCCTTCTAGCGCTCGTCGCCCTCGTAAATGTCTCTCTTTCACTCCCTCCCACCCTCGAGGCAACACGAGGCGGAATGCGCGCGTTGCCGGGAATAAGAAAGTTTCGATGTCGGATTACGGCGCGCTGCCGGGTCGGTGCCCGCCGCGAAAACCGCGGGCGCGACGTATACAATGATTAACCCCGTCATCAGCAGCGACGTGTCGTTGCTTATCACCAAGACGAAATCGATACTCCTCTCGCGAGTCGGTTTCACGTATTACGATCGCGGATGTGAACTATTTTGGAAACTTTTCATTGGAATAGCGCACACCTGGAAGTGTGCCGTTGATCGCGAAGTTGTCGGAAATGTTAGCTTTTATATTATATTAAAAATGATAATTTTGATATCTTTCTGATATTTTTGAAAAGATTATTGTAATAATTATTTTTTTATCTATTGTAGTTGGAAAGAATTACGTAAAAAAATGCAGTAAAATACAATGAGATATAATAATATATGCATAATGAATTCGTTTAGCATTTTGATTATATGTATATGGCGATGTATATGTACATACATGTATACATCGCTCATTTGCTACAAAAACAACTAACTCAAGGAGCAAAGTTTTCCAGGAAATGAGTTACAAATCAGAGTTTTAAATCATTAAAATTTTACTATTAATTTTAAAGTACATTTTTTATATATATATCTGATTGTAGAGAAGTAAAAATATGTTCTTTCTTTTTTTCTTTGTTTCCATTTTTTCTTCAAGCAAAAACATTTTTTAGACGCTTGAACAATTTGACAGTTTTTGAGTTATATATTGCTGTAGCAAATGAGCGATAAATAAATAAATAAATAAATAAACGTATATACATATATATATATATATATATATATATTATATATACAATATAGATTGTATGCTAAATGCGCAGCTTGTCCTAAGCATGGAGCACTTTCTCTTGAGCGCAGATACTAAAGGCCAACCTGAGAAGGATGCTAGTTATTTCATGGTCGTAGCATCGGTTATTGACATATATAATACTAGATAAAAGAGCTTTTGCGTCCTTTCGATCACCTAACATCCTTGTTGATAGAAATGTCGAGGTCGCAATAAAAAATTATTTATAAATTATAAACGGTTACACCACGCCAAAAATTTTCATAAATTAAGCATCGAGAGCACGGACACAACAAAATCCCGTCCTTCATTTAATCTCAAGTTGACGTTCCTTTGGCAGAATTTCAACTCCGGAGCTAATTAAAGCGATATCTCCTCATAAAAAGGTCTCGAATTCATTAAACTTTAATGCCAACAAGCCCGGAAAAGAGATACGCCTAACGCCGTATGTATTTAAGGTCCATCCACTCTTACGCCGTACTTATATTTACCCACGGGCGTTTGCGCATTATCGCCGAGAGTCGCGTCGAAATGACACGTCGGCCACGTTACACCGCTACTCTTCCGTAATTACATACTCGCGGCACCGTCAATTTTCGTATCGTTTCGCTCCCCCTCGCCCCCCTTACCCCTTCTCGCCGTGCCGCCCTGAAAGAGAGAAACAGCGGAGCGTAGCGTATCCCCCTAGACTCCGACCGGGGACATGCGGAGTATCTCGCACACGAGACTGCCTCTCATCGTTTCCTCGTCGCTCGCGGCCGTTGTTCCAGCTAATCGCTCTAAAATCATATTTTTCCGCTCGCGAAATCGCGCGCGCCTTCGCTTCTGCGTCGCGGAAAAGTGCATCTCGTCGGGGCACAGTGAAAGCACGGTGAACCGTCTCTCCCCCCCCCCCTCTCCCCCCGCCTCTCGCCTCCCTTATCCCCTAGATCACGGAGCGACCAGGGGAACGAACGCGCGCACTCCCGGGGGGGCCCTCTCACTTTCGCTCTCCGGAGAAAGTCCGGCCGCCGCGCCCCCCCGTCGTCCGTCGCGGTTCCACGTTTCCCCCTTCCGTCCTCCCCGCGCTTTGTAAGATTCCCTCCTCCCTCGCGTCACCGGCTCCGTAAAAGACTCCGGCTTGCCATCGCGCTCTCGCCTTGACGACCAAGTGCTACGGTGCAACGCTGCTGCGAGCTTCCCCCTCGTCCTTCTCGCCCGCTCCTCCCAATCACCCGCCGCCCCCCGTCCCCCTCCCCCGTCCCGCGCCCGCGACGGTTGTGCACTTCTTCTGCGGTGTACTCTCGCGATCCGACGAGGGGTTAATGCACTCCTAGAGCAAACCATAACCTTAGCCGGAGCCCTCGGAGAGGCGCGGGAACCTCGCTACTGACAACGACGACGGACGAGGCCCCGCGGCGTGCTCTCGGGACCGGCATTTATAATCGAATTAGTGCTCTTTTTTTTTTTCTTCAAAAACGCGTTTATGTCACATTCGATTTAATTCGCCTTTTCACATGGAGATGACTTCTTGAAACGAACTCATTAAAATTTTTATGGCGAATCCACTCTTCATGTATAAAAAGAAAAAAATAAGATATACAATTAACAAAAAATATGATAGTCTATAAAAGTTACATTCTGGGAAATTAATTTCTTTTCCTTTCTCGATTCTCAAATCACAAAGTCTTTGATTATCTGGGCTTTGGCTTGAGATCTTTATATGGTTATATATTTTTTAAGTATAAACATTAACATTTTGTATCGTGTAAATCAATGCTTCTTGTATTATATACATTACGATATTTAGGTTTTATATTATAAAATTTTATTTCCAAATTTAAAGGAGAATCAACAGGTGTACCTTTGTATAGAGCGATTGTAAATAAAAGTAGAAGACAGTTTTTAATTAGTTATAGATTAGTTATCTATTATTATTAGTTATCTATAATAATATTAGTTATTATTGGATCCGAAAATCATCATCGTTCTCAACGTTCGCACTTTACGATCTTAGATTCGCATCGGCTCCTGAGGATACGTGCAGCTGACTTCGTATGGCGGAAAGTAAACGGTGCCCGGTTTTCAAAGCGAGAACGATCGCGCGTATCAAGGGAAAGTATCTCAGAAACACGTGCTATTATCATACGATGCCGCGATCGGACTCCAAATGGGGCCTTTCGGCGGAAAGCACACGCGCGGGGACGCCTTTTTATAAAACGGCGTCGTTGAGAAAGAGAGAAATGCAAGTGAGATATACGCGATTAAGATTCGTGGACGGGGACCTTGGCGCGTATTGTCCGTGCGCGATAATTGGCCGCGGTTTTATATGCGAGCTCCTTCGACAGACAGAATAGTTTATCTCTCGCACGTCTCTTTCTCTATCAAACTGGCTCGCGCTATCTCTCTCTCTCTCTCTCCCCCTCTCTCTCTCTATCTATCTATCTATCTGTCTCTCTTCTCGCTCTCCTCTCTCACACTAGAAGCGACTCTATAGAACGTCGGTCCAGGGCCGACGAGCGAGCGCCTTGGAGGCGTAATGACGATCATAGAAACTCTCGAGGCCGACCCACAAGACCCAGAGTTTCGCGAAAGCAAGATAGATTAGCGAAGGGAGTGAATATGTTTCACATCAAGCATGTACTAGACGAATTTCAGATGCTATAATCTGATTACAATAGTTAGAAAAATATTCGTTCTCCCGTATGGAAAGATTTTCGGTCAATTAAATATCGAAAAATCTTTGTGCGAGCAACGAAACGAAATCTCTTAATTTTGACTGGACTTTGCCAGAAGTCTCGAAACGTTTAATCATAAAGATCAGTAACTTACGATAAACGAGAGAAAGTCTTCGCTAAGATCAATTCTGAATTGCAAATCCGGGAAAAAAAGAAGCACGCGTCCTGTTTATACGTGCACTAGCATCACATTTAGATGTACAGATAATTTATTATAATGAATTTATTATAATGATATATATTCAGGAATTAAATAAATTCATATGGAAGTTACGATATTTGGACACTATCTTCATTTTTTAGTCTTTCTCAAAATTATATTTTATGTAAAAATACAAAAAAAATACAAAAAAATCGCATTAATACGTGTAGATATATGCTTATAAAAATCAATCTTTTTTTATCTATGTTCCTAATTATTCTTGATTAATTATACCATATAATTGTTAATACTTTTAATGTTGCCAATACATAAATGTTATATAGAGACATGTCATACAACAGTATCATAAAATTAAATCTTCTGTATAAAGTTGACAAAATCTTCTCAAGCAAATAATGATAAAAGATCTTTAGATCAAAAAGAATAATTTTGTTGAGAGATCTAAAATTTAGCTAGATACTGAAAATAATTTTGTTGTGCTAGAAAAATAATTATGCTGGAAACTTAATATTGATGAGCAATGCTGCAAAAGATTTTGATATTCTAGCAATCAGTTTTCAACATAATGTATATAATTATTTTCAATATATAATATGTATAATTATTTTAATGGTCCAACAAAATCATTTTCAGGCAT